CTCTTCATGCCTGCTGAACTTTGCAACACTGATTACACTGTATTCCAATCATCAATTAGACAAGAAGCTCTTATTTATAAGACCTCTTTCCCTTACCAGCATGCTGATTGAGATTCAATGTGTGACTTTCTTTGAGACACCCCTTGGATTGATATTTTTAACCTTCATATTGAGAATTGTGCTAGTGTAGTGGTGGTATGTAAAACACACGTGGGTAGAAATTTCCTGCTAGCCAGTCCAACTACATGAGAAAGTTGGACTTTAATTAAGTCCAAAGAGAACAAACAAGACCAATAAATATATGTAAACAAATATATGTATTAATAACAAGTTAAAGGTTACAAGTTACATGGACAGTAGGGTAGGTCGATTTTTGACATTTTTTAAAATATCAAAAAGAATAATGTACCGAAAGTTGTGTATAGACCAATTAAGTACTGATACAAAAAATTAGATTTGTCACTTCAACGGTTTTTTGAGCATTTGGCATCAAAGATCGTAGAGAAAAATGTACTGAAAAATCCACGATTTTGTAATTACTAAATATTGATAAAAAAACAAACAATTTCACTATTTAAATCGGGGAATGTTGTTATTTTGTTTTATCTAAATTAAATAAAATGTAGAAATTATAAGTAAACTTCAAATTGAAAATTTGCCCCCCACTATTATCACTGACGATTTTGAAATGCTGTTTTTTGCCTCATGAATTAAGCAGTATTAGTTGAATACATTAAAAAAATTGCTTTTTTCTATTTTGAATGAAAATACAACAAACAAACAAATATGAAAAAATAAAGAATAGTTTAATAGGGCTTAATATACAGAGTCAAATAGCTTGATATATGAACCCTCAGATGAAATTGATGGTCTCAATTTCTGACACAAAGCTTTTGATATTATGTGCTGTTGCCTTGCTTCAAAGCCATACACAGATTGAGAAGCTTCTGTTGTTAACTTGACTGCTCGTTACATGCCTTGAGAATGTGAGGGCAAATCTGGCAAGTCAAGTTTCGTACCATTCAATAATTATTCCCAAGTTCATTTTCAGAAAATTCTTCTGTGAATGGTGGTTCTAAATTCCATTAATGACAGATCTTTTAACTGTCTCCAGTGCATAGCTTTAAAATTGATAGTTGTGATTCTTTTTAATTTTTTCTTGGTTTGCTCCCCACTCTTGAAAGAATATAAAAATTAATTTGATTTATTTTTTTAAAAATGCACTCTGTACTGCTTTAATATTTATGGTGAAATTAGATAAAATCCTTAAAATGATTCCATAAATCGGTAAAACTAATTTAGTCAATTTTATAGTAATAAATATTTACTAACCTAATGGCCAAATTCTTTTTATAGCTTCTTCCCTCACTTCCAATTCATCAGATTTAACCATTGAATATAAGATATTTTCAGGCAGTAAGGCGAAAGCATTGTATTGTATATTTTTCAATGTGATCTGTTGGTTGCTTCCTAATCCTTTGGATCATATTGAAAATATACATTTGCTGATTGTGGAACTTGTTATTTCTTTTATTTTCGAACCGGCAAATGGCATACACATTCACAATAAAATTTATTAAACTGTGGAGTTTGGTTGAAATATTTCGTGGGTATGCACTATAAGTTCATAAGCACATCAGACTGATGCCTAAAGTTAACCACCTTGCCTGGTTTAATGGACCAATTTTCCATGATGCAAATCTAGAATCCACCTTACCTCTAGAAATACCCACTGTATATTCATAAAGGAGTCTTTGGTCACAACTAAGGGTATTTTCAATTTTAAAAATAGAATCCAGAGGACTGCCAACAGCTGAAAATGATATTTGGGGTAAATTATGGTAATCATTTGCACGTAATCTTCCAAGTGGACCATTGAATGTGGCAGGGCTTTTTTGTGGTGCCATCTACATGTTTAAAAAGAGCTCTAAACAGAAGTTTATTTTGGTGCAAGGAGCAACCAATAGTATGAAGATTTCTAGAGGTGCAGCAAATCCACCTTCACAGCCTGAATTGGCATTAGTGTTTGTCAACAAGGATAGCCTTGATAGTGCTCACACTGTTGAATTCATGCAAAACATCAGCCACTTGCTCGGCAAGAACCACAACAATTGCACCAATATTAGGAAGAGCCTTAGGTGTCAGATATTCACTTTCATATGTAATCTTTGTGACAGTCAAGTGGCGTTCTGGTCTCTTGGTCTTTTTTTCAGTCTTCTCTCCATTTTCCTCCACTATTTCCTTGTACATTAGTGTGTCTTTGTCAGTTCTCCCATCAACTCCAATACAAAAATTTACCACCTTTTCATCATACTGTTGATGGGCATTTGTTTTCACTTTAACCTTTGCTCTATCAATTTTACATTTATCTATATAAATATCTTTTTATATTAATTTTGCGGATAAGAAAGCCCATAAGCGCTCAAATCCAAAGCATTGCATTGGCAAGGCTGGCTCCAAGATTATAAGATACATCACCCCTGATCATCTCAACAGCATACCGTGGAATTTTGATAAGGCTAGCCGCTATAGCCTTATCAAAATTTCCACGGTATCTTAAACCCTTTGGGATGTTTTTCCTGCCATTTTATTAAAATATCTGACAAAGAAAATATATGTATTATCAGAAATTATACAAAAATATTTTTTCAAAATAAATTGGAAAATAAAGTTTGAAATGCATTATTAAATTAAAAGTAATGTTTATTTACATAAAAGTAGAGTTAATTCAGGATTAGCTTGTAAATAGGCTTTTTAATAAAACATTAATTTTCAAAATATAAAAAGCGATACTTATAAAAAGTTGTATTTTTAAATAGTTAAGTATATTTTGATGAAAAATAAAATAGATATTTAAACTAGTTAAAAGCGTAAACAAAAATAAAACGAACATACAAAAGGAGGTAATTACTACCAGTAAATACCGAGAAAATATCCAGTAAAAACGACACCATTTATGAGTAGTTATTTGTATTTTAAACTAAATATTTTTAGTGTGTTTTATTTTTTATTTGTAGTAATTTCATTTAATTTAATAAGAGAATAGATAAAAAACTCAAAAATATCCATTATTAAGCGTTATTTTCTTTTTTCTTTTCATTAAGTCTCGGTTTTAATTTAACATACACATGTCTCTAGTGACACCGTTACGATGATAAAATTCGCGATTTATTTTGTCTTTAAGATCGATTGCTCAAATAAATACGAAGTTTTGAAAAAAGATATTTTTTGTGGTAATTTTTGACGTTATTTTGCAACTTTCCTCGGGTTATTCTTTTTACACTTCCAAAATCAACCTACCCTAATGGACAGTTACATGGACAGAGTGTGTGCTGTTTATTATGTCTGTGTGTGTTGTGGTGAGTGTTCGTATGTACGTGTATTGTTCTTAGCGTGTTCCCAGCATTTGGGAAACACTATCTGTGAGCGTTCACATCTGCGAGGTGGTATAAGGCTGAACGCCTGAGGAAAAAGGGGTCAAGGTGAAGGGTCAGCTAGTATTTATAGCCAGGGGAGAGAGACTCCTATTGAAGGATTAAGGAACTAAAGGAGGAGCTAACTCTGACACTAGTGAGGTTTTTATTGGGTCAAAGCTGGCATAAATGCTTTCATTCCTTCTCAGAAATATCGGGTGAAACCTCAACTTTCTCCATGGTTCACACCAAAATTTTCTGTTGTTATAGCCCACAAGAACCACTATTTTTGACTATACCAGTGTGACAACTCTGATCACAGCAGATGCCTATTCATGGCTGCACGTAATAAATGTAAATGTGTCCTCGAAGAAGCTAAGATTTTGTTTGCTGAGAGAATGAGGCACTGTTTTGCACCTAACAAGTTTGGCTCTTGTGATTAGTGGTGGCTCTGTAATAGTGTATTAAATAAGAGTAAATTTTCTATTCCACCTCTCTTCAGTCCTTTTGCAGTGTTAACATCTGCTGATGAAGCTGAATGTTTTACTCATAAATTCTCTTTAAACTTTAGACTCATCTGGAGTATGCTTGCCTAACTCTGCTTCGAAATAAATCTCTGTTGAGTGATATGCATATAGCACCTTCTATGGTTTCTGCTTTCATCTCTAATCTGGGTCCCTAAAAGACATGTGGACCTGATGGTATCCCTGTAATAGTCTATAGAAATTAAATCCTATATATATTTTTCAATCATTAAAATCCCATCAGAAGTTTTGTTTGATAAACAATCATTACAAGGGCAAATACTGCTAAAATACTCGTGGATGTAGTTATAGACCTACTACGTATTATTTTTGGACCATTTAGAAAATAATAATAACTCCTTGCACTACTCCTGCAAATTCAAGAAAAAGATTTTCATGAGCCAGTGTGAAATTATTTTCTAACTAATGAAAACCTTGTATTTAAAAAGTTCACACCTTTATATGAAATTAGATTTTGTCTCTCCCTTATGGATATAAAAATAGAAGCCTACTGCTTCTCAGAGTTCAAATCAATTTCAGAGTCCTGTTTGATCTACATGTGTATACACATGCACACACATACAAATGAAGAGATGACAGCCTGCAGCTGCCAACTAAGGCCTTGTCTACGAACTCACAAACAGAATCAATCTTACATATCTATAAGTCTACCATTAATCCATGTTTAGAATATTGTTGCCACTTATGGTCTGGTGCTGCTGCTATATATTTAGAGATTCTTGTTAACCCTGTAGATTAAATAAAGGGTTCAGTTCAAAACTTTTTGAAGGTTATCCAGATCAACAGACACCTGAAGAAAGCTAGAGGATACAACAATTAAAACATTGTGGCAATAACAACAAAGATGAGGACCATAATCCAAATGTAATTGATGATATTTCCTCATTTCAGAAATTCAGACAGAAATTAATCCCATGAGATTAACAAAATAACTTTAATTTACTAATAACAATTGTAATTAAACCTAACTGCCTTTACTAGTGGTGTATTGTGTACATACAAAGAAATAAAATATAATTATTTTTTTTTTATTTATCATCATTTCCATACAATCACCGAAGTTAAGCAACATCAAGTCTGGTTAGTACCTAGATGGGTGACCACTTGTGAATACCAGGTGTTGTAAGCTTGCAGGTGGTGTAATGGATAATGGCTCAGAATTGTTCCAAGTTCCAATTCTAGTTGGGTCATATATTCACTTACATGCAAATAACCTTGGGAAAAGTATGAATTCACCCCTTCTTGACCCAGCTATGTGTTAATTAGTAAAACTTGTATCACTAAATTATTATCTCCAAAAAATTATTAAAATCTAAAAATATTTTCTGGCTTTAAAAAAGCTGCAAATAGTTGATAAGCCATAGAAAATGAATGAATTCAATGATTGAATGAATAAATAATTTTTTTTTTTTTTATTTATGATGAATTTGATATTGTTTTTAATTTTAGTGAATTTCATCAAATTATTCCAAATTATCTCAGTGTTATTTATAATTATCTAGATTTATATCTAGCATTTAGACACCTATTTTCATAATCTAGATAACATGAAGCATGTAGATATTTTATATCCAGAGTGGCAACAATTAAGCTTAAGCTAAGCATCTTTAGGTTTCAACCCGTCTACTGCTTTTGCAATTATCAATAAAGCATTTGCAAATTGAGTTCACAGCAGACGAGTATTCAGAAGGTCTTAAGACACTGGTTGGGGGAATTTGTTAACAATAAGCCACGTGCAAGGAAAATTCAGAATATCAACAGATTTTTTTTTTTTTTTTTTTTTTTTTTGCTATTTTCACTAAAAGAGGAGTTATCGAACTTCGTTGGTCAGGCGTCGCGTCAGTGCGAATTTAACAAAATGGCGTACTGGTTCCATCGTAATCCTCTCAAGGCCACATCATCTGTTACATTTGAGTTACATGGAGTCACTAGCGACCAAATATCACGAAAAATAATCAGGTGTGTGTTTTTGAAAAATATAAAGCTCTTTTTATTATTGTATTTATACCCTATTTCTTCAAATTTTTCACTAAAAAAAAATATGTTTAGTAATTGATAATAGAAATGTCATGAAAAATGGGTAATCAGTTTATAACATTGTTTATGTTGGAGAATAGTCACCCATTTTATGGCCACACGTAGATTGTATGTTTCATTGTGTTTTTGTTTTTTAGGTTGGAGTCCTTTTACATTTAAGATAATTTGAAAAAGAAATGCCATTTTTGCGTTTGTGACTGAACTTAAAAATTCCATTTTGGGAATTTTATACTTCTTTTCTAAAGTGTTTGTAATTGTGGTGAATCATAAGAGAAATTGGGGTTTGTTTATTTGCTTTGACGTCTTCGATGGCTTCATAAAGCAGACAATAATAGTTGAATATTTTTTTTTCCCAAATAACTCATAAAAAATATTTAATAATGGTCTTTGTCGGATTTTGAAAATAGAAAAGACGTGAATTTTTGTAAAAAGTAACATTAATCTTCTTTTTTTTTTTTTACTTAATTAAGTTAACGGAAAGGAAAACTATTATTACTGAGTCAGACAGGTTTTTTTGTCGTAATCATTGTCGTAAGCTAAAAAAAAAAAAAACTTAACGTGTTTGCCTTCTCGAGAACCGATTTTATTAAAAAACATATTTTTAATAAAATAAAACTAAAAATGTCATTGCTCATTGTACTTTAATTGCGTTTGGTTTGACAAACATTTATGTCGTAAAAAAAGTTTACTAAAAAGAGATTAACACTAAACTGTAAACAGTTTTCTTTTCAATAATCGTTTTGAAACTTTAAAAACAAATATGTGAGCTGCGTAAAAAATTGGTTCATCACAAAAACCAAGATTGTAAGAACAGCAGCATAGCAAATAATATAAAATAAACACGGAGAATCTTTGTAATCATCAGACAAAAAAATAGCTGTCACCATTATTGACAAATTAGTCATAAACCTAAAAGTTTTTTTTAGGTTTTTAGGGAAAATCGACAGATTTTTTTATCTTCTTTCGTCATTCATTAAAATTTAAAAAGAAATCTTATCCAATGAATTAGAAAGTTGGTTAGTAAAATATAATTCTGGGTTAATGACTAAAAATGTTTAATAATGAGTAAATAAAAAGCACATGTGTGGTTTTATATTTTTAGTGTTTTTCAAGAATGTCTCTCCTCACTTATAGTTGAGTTGTTCATATGCACTTTCTAACAATAATAATCATGTCAAGCTTTGAAAAGAAAAGCTATTTATTTTCTTCACAATATGCGTTTTATCTTACAAAATGCGATTGAATGTTGTCAGAAAACTGGTTTTGTTTTTGTTTACGTTTTATATGGCATTGGCATTTTACAGCTTCCCCTACTTACATTTTTTATTGTTTCAATAAAATCTCTTGAAGCATTAGCCACCGTCAATGAATGTTGCTTTTTGTGCTTGAATAGTTTTCAGTTCACTTGCTAAAATAAAATAATAAATTGGAAAAAATTATAATAACTTATTTTTTAACAAAGTTTTATTAATTATTATTAACTATTCTTTCGAATAATGGTTAAATAAAACATGTGAAGAAGACACTACTAAATCTTAAAAAGTCGATGCTTTTTAAGCACACTCAAACGGTTTGAATTTTTCACACGAAGAATTATTATTAAAACTGATTTAAATGGACTAGTGTCCTCATCTTGGATCTTAGTTACAATGTTTCGGCTATTGTATTCTTCAGGTGTCTGTCGTAGGCGGTAGCGCTAGAAATTTCAAGTTGCTTTATTAAATACATGGGGGTAGATCGTTCTCCTTCCGATGTATAGGCAACACTCTCTCTTAGTCTTAATAATCTTAATTAGTTCGTCCTTGGGACTTTTTCTTGTCTCTTCTATTGATCCAGTTGCACTATCTGACCCAGGGATTGATTGCATTGATTGAACTTACGATTGTTTTTCTCCACTAAAGCTATGTATCCCAGTATCATTCCATTACAAAAATTAAATTTGTGTTGTAAGTCAATTCTTCTAATGTCAATTTTTACCTGACTTTAAAAAAAATGTCAGAATAATACGCTGTTTATATTTTGGAGATTGTGTGTGCCTGTGTCTATGTGATTCTTTGAGATTTTTTCCTCTACTACCTGATTTCAGTCATAAATTAAGGTTTCATGATGCATTATTGTAACAACAATTGACTGTTCCTTGTTCAAAGAATAATTTGTTCCCTTTTAGAACAGATATTTACATTCAGAAATGGATTGTAATGAAAGACATTTGTTCACCATTACCCTCACTATTTCCTATCTCTTTATGCCATAAGGTTATTCACATATCTGGCAATAGGTCTATTTTTCAAAACTCATACCTTTCTGAAATAATACAAGTGAACAGAATTTGCAAACATTATTTACCAGACCTCCCTACTAAGACAAGGATCAGACACAGAATTTTCAAACATTTATTAGAAACATGTATGTAACTTATTTTTTACTGTAGTTTGTAGAAAAGTATTTAAAAAGTGAATTTAATTGTATAATTCATAACATTCAACCAACAGTCATCACCTAATTTGATATAAGTGCAGAAAAAAATTCATTTATTTTAATATCATGACAGCTTTTAAATTCGTATCCTTAAACAAGTATATTATAAAAATTACATTTTCTTACATTGGGCAACATCAAATTAATCAAATATACTTAAAAAAAAAAAAAAAGTTTGTATTACATTTAAATTTAAAGAGGAAAGACCAAACTTTTTTTAATTATTTTAAAAAAATTTTCTTTCTTTTTAGAACATTCTAAATTTTGATTAAAAACCTTGTTTCTCTTTGTATCGCCGGAACTAGTAAAATAACAGACAATTTTTAACACTTTTTTTTTTTTTTTTTTTTTTTTTGTTGTATGACACACGTTAATTTGGAAAATCTTGCAAAAATAAAAATAATTGTCGGATTTTAATGAAACTTTCAGAAACTATTCACAGATGATCGAAATTTTTATAAGTTTTTTTTTTTTTTATTAAAGTCATGGCAGAATTGTTTTTTTTATATTTATTACTCCCCGCCCCAACTAATTTTATGAAAACGCTAGAAATTCGATCGCATCGGGTTTGTTTAGTGATTACAATAGAAGCACAAGGCTTTGAGGAATGCAAATCATGTTTTTTTTTGTTTTTTTTTTTTAATTGGACCCGCAGTACCTGAAAATCAGCTCTGAATTGTAAACTCAATAAAACAAATATATTATTTAATTTCAAATGCTTTTTGCTTTTATGAATATGGACAATATTTTCTGAAAGCAAAAATAATTTTCGATGAAAAATGAATTTTTAATACAATTTTGTTATTTCTTTAATTATAATAGATTTTTACATTTAAGTTGTTATTATTATAAAATTAGTTAAAAGCCGCATCGGCTTTTTTAAAGTCTTCTTATGAGATAGATCCTTTTTTTTTTTTTTTTTTTTTTTAGCGCGTTGTAAATTGTATCATTTTTGAGTTTTTTGACTAATCAGAAGATCCGCAGTAATTAAGAAATGTAATTTTATGTTTATAATCGGGCTGTGATTATAAAGTACGGAAGACCAACCAAAATACAATTAAGTTGCGTTATTTGAGTTAAGCATTGTTCTCCGCTGTAAGGCATTTACTTTTGCGAAACACGTGTGGAGAAGTTAATTTGATTTTTCAATTTCAACTGAGAAGGGTACCTACAAGTATCACTATCATCTTATGAAATTTATCTTATTTTTAATCTCAGTTATGTATGACATTTTTCCATAAATGAAATATCAAATCAAAATTAATAATAAAATGAATGGAAATACAAATAAAACAGTAAAATGTAATAAATGTACATAAAATTATAGTATTTTATGTACACTTCTGATAAAATTTCATAAGAAAGGTACCTATACCATTCTTATGAAATATGAAATTTAATCTCACTCTTACTTAACAGTCTTATTTTAATTTCTTTATAATATATTTTCCATAAAGCATCGTAAACGTAAAGGTGAAAGCTAAGTACAAAAAAGAAATTAGAGCGCTGAAAGTTTTCCTTAATAATAACGAGGTAAATAATTTGTTCACTTAAAATCTAAATAACTTCACTTTTCGGCTTCCGTAGAGCAAATTATGATCCCGTAAATCCGTCAATACATCATTCAACACCTGTCAAGTGACGCGAAAGATTATGACCTGCTTTGTTTTATTTTCAAATTACATCTTTTCGGCGCAGAAGCTAAGTCAACCTTGGTTCAAAATATTTTGAAAAAATGATAATTAATATTTAAAAGAATTTCAAAGTGAGATTTTCATCTTTTTTATAAAATGGAAAAAAATGGGTGCCATAATCGATTATCTGTCAATTTTGCTGACTCAAAAATAACAAGATTTTTATCGAAAATTTCGAACGTGATCAGAACGATTAAAAAATGTAATAAAAATACCCCCAAACAAAATACTTTGATCTAGGTCTGTCCCTTTTGTTTTGTCGCCCAAAAACGCATAGCATGAAGAAAAAAGGCCCCAAACTTAATAAAAACAAAATTTTATCGTGAAAAAGTTTGTTTTTTTTCATTTGCAGCATATTTTTAAGTAAAATTTTTTTCATTTGCAGCAATTTTTAAGTAAAATTTTTAACATTTATAGGAAGGATTAAAAAATCTGAAAAAATATTCAGAAAATGCTTTGGTCTTCCCTCTTTAATACTAACATAAACATTTACACGTTAAAAATGTCTTTATCAATTTGGGGACCTTTTTCTCCAGAGTATACCACTTTTTAGCGTTATATGGGACAGACCGACATCTTTCACTTAACATGAACATTTAGACGATAAAATTTTGTTTTCGTCAAGTTTGGCATCTTTTTCATCATGCTATGTTCTTTTTTAGCGATCTCATGGAGGCACCTAATTTAATTCCTCAAATTTCCATGACATTCAAGTCAACCAAATTAGCTTGCCTTTTAACCTTTGACATT